TACTTCCCTCCTTTTACTTCGCACAAGGTATTTCTGGAGAGAGATCTCTGAAGTGGGCAACAGAATGTGATAGCTCCTCCTAGGAGGCTCCTCATATTTAGCTATCAGAAGGTAGAAGGAGAGTCTCCCAGCCCAAAGAAAGAAAGAAACAAAAAACAAAAAACCAACCCTCCAGATATCTTGATTTCATACTTCCAGCCCCCAGAACTGAAAGACAATAATGTTATGTGAGACACACACACACAAAAGTTCCTCATACACACTGACTTGGTATAATTATATACAGAAGGAAAACTTGTATGCACAAATCATATGAATTGTATGATTTTAAATATTTACTTAAAAATTATAAGTGTATATATATATATATATATATATATATATATATATTTTTTTTTTTTTTTTCAACTGAACCATGAAATCTCCAACAAAGGCCCCAGTCTAAAGTCTGTGCACTTGGAATGGTGAACACACAATACAATATACAAATGATGTATTACAGAACTATCCACCTGAAACCTATATGTTATTAACCAATGTCACCCCAATAAATTCAATAAAAATTAAAACCAAATAAATAAACACCGCCTGTGCTCTAGTACTGCCCCAGTGCCCTATCCACTGTAGCTATCCCATGTGGTCTTTTGTTTCAGAGGCTGATGATACCTTATCAGCACACACCAAAGTATAGGGCTTACATTCCAGTTCCACCACTTCCTTAGCCGAGTGACTTTGGGCAGGTTGCTTCAACTGTGTGCCTCACGTTTACTCATCCCTAAGATGAAGCCGGCCAAACCTGCCCCTTGGTGTTTCAGCAAAAACAAAACATTTGATGACGCTCTGAACATGGCTTCTGGCACCCGGAGACGCGAGGCTGCTATTGTCTGTGTACTATATACTAGTCTACGGCAAATCCTTTCCTTCCCATACTTTTGAACCTAGACTAATTGACATTAGCCCTCTTAATCAGCTTCATCTTTACAAATAAATTTAAAAAATTCTACGCCAAAAGATCACTGAGGGAATAAAAAGAACACGAGGAAAACTAGCACACATCAAGGGGTGGAGAAAAAGATGCTCCTTTCTTTTCGGTCTCTCTGGCACTTCATTAGCATCACCACCCTACAGCCCAGGGCTCCCGCTGAGACTCCGTAAACACCGCGGGGCGGCCCCCAGGCACACCTGGGGACCCACGGGCGATGTGTGTCCCCAACAAGGCCAACCACAACTCCACGTCGGGGAGCCATTTTTGCCACTCAGGAAAATGAAGAAGTGCACGAATGAACGAGTGAATTAGCCCTCCCAGCAACCCCCGTTCCCAGGAGGGCCGGGTCCCCGCACAAAGACTGCATTTATTATTTTAAAAAAATAATAAAAATAAAAATTCTATATACATATATTTTTATGAACATCTCCAGCTCCCCGGGGAGGTGCGGTGGAGCTGGACGGACCGGGGAGAGCCGGGTGGGCGTGGGGCAAGAGGGCTGACGGGGGCAGGACACCCTCGGGAAAGCGAGGCGCTGGGACGGGTGGCCTGAGGGAGGGGGTCGGGCCTCACCTTCGCCCGCTTGCGCCGGCTGGTCCGTCGTCCCTCAGGGGTCTCGGCGATTCCCGTCTCCATGGGGGTGGCAGACGCAGGCACGACGGTAGGCCCGGCTGGAGGCCCGGCGGACCCCGGCGGTTCGGCGAGGCCCCCGGGGGGCGAGGCCCGCGGAGGCTCCTTCTTGCGAGGGGTGCGCTCTCCCGCCACCCCCGGCCCGGGCTCCACGGGGCCCGACGGGCCCGCGGACGGCGCGGCCACCTCGGAGCCATTCTCCGAGCCTGCCGCTACCCCCGCGCCCGCCTCCGAGCCCGCCGCGGCCGCCGCGGCCGCCGCAGCCGCCGCCTTCTTCCCGGACAGCATCTCCGGCCGCCTGGGTGCTGACGGCTGAGGGCCGCTCAGCCCGCGGGTCCGAGGGTACGTGGGTCCGGGCCGCGTCGTCTCGCTCCGATGCTCCCGGTGCGCGCGCCGCCTACCGCCGCCGCCGCCGCCGTGTACGCAGGCGCGGAGCGCGTTCCCGTCGCGTCCGGACAAAAAGCCGGAGACGCCCACGGCCCCGCCCCCCGCTGCCATAGAGTCGCGTCCTCGCGGCTAGAGCGGCACCGTGGCAAAGAGCGCGGTGCTTTCCTAGAGCGTCCCCGTGGTCTTTGGAGTTGGCCCCTGAGACACCGTCCAGGTCGTAGGGCTTCTGAGCCAGACTACACCTCTGAGGGCGACCATTTCACCCAGGGATTTGGATGCACTTATAAATTCATTCATTTTCATTCATTCACTCATTCATTCACCTATTTGTCGATTCAACCAATATAGGTGACAAGGGCTTAATTATGTAATTCTTGCTTTCCAAGAGCGTATGGTCTAGGGATGGGAATCTCACTTATTTATAATTGTCCTTGCCTGGACCGGTTTGGCTCAATGGATAGAGCGTTGGCTTGGGGACTGAAGGGTCCCGGGTTCAATTCCGGTCAAGGGCAGGTACCTTGGTTGCAGGCATATCCCCAGTAGGGGGTGTGCAAGAGGCAGCTGATCGATGACTCTCATCGATGTTTCTAACTCTCTATCTCTCTCCTTTCCTCTCTGTATAAAATCAATAAAATATATTTAAAAAAAAAAGATTATAATTGTCCTTGGTTGTACTGGGGAAACCTTGGAGAGCAAACAAGTTTCGTGGTAATAAAATGGACAGTAATTAATAAATCTAGTTTTGAGTCCAACAGGATTGTTCTAGCATCCAAAGCTTTGTTCATGCCCTTGCTCCCTCACACTTCCATTCCCTTTGTCCACTCACTCCCCCCATACACCTGTTTCTACAAATAGTGAACACATGTCAAATATTTGTTTACTTGTTTGTTTATTGTTTCTACAAATAGTGAACACATGTCAAATATTTGTTTGTTTGTTTATTGAGAAAACAGCAGGACGATATAGCTGGTTCAAAGGAGAATATGAAAAATTGATATATATATATATATATATATATAGTCATTGGTGAGTGGAAAACAGAATGCTAGGAAAGGGTTGCAGACAGATTGACTAGAATGACAGATTGACCAGTTGCTATGATATGCACTGACCACCAGGGAGCAGATGCTCAACGCAGGAGCTACCCCCTGGTGGTCAGTGCACTCCCACAGCCAACCTCCTGCAGCCTCTTCCCCAACCCCCTACATGAATTCGTGCACAAGGCCTCTAGTTTTTAAATAAGAAAAAGCAGTTGATGTCTTACAATGCCATAAAATTAAACTCTAAACTTTGGGGCTTATCTTTTCTCTCAGACAGAACTCATTTGCATTTACCCCCCCACCCCCCAAAAACAAAACAAAACAAAACAAAAACACACCACATTTTCTGCTTAACTCTTTTTCTTTTCTTTTTTTTTTTTTTTTACCAGAAATACAGGCATACCTTGGAGATCTTGTGGTTTGGGTTCCAAACCACCATAATAAAGCAAGTATTACAATAGAGGCAGTCACAATCATTTTGCTGGTGGAGGGTCCTATCTTCAATTTGTAAAAAGCAAAACACCTGTGAAGCACAATAAAGCAAAACACAATAAGGCACAGTAGGCCTGTAACTAATTAGTTTCATTTTCTTAAATTGTGGTAAAATATATATAACATAAAACTTATCATCTTAAGCATTTTTAAACACACAGTTCACTAGTGTTAAGAACATTCACATGATTGTACAATCTCCAGAACTCTTTTCATCTTGAAAAACTCTGTACCCATTAAACAATAACTCCCCAACACTCCCCGCACCCCACCCCCAGCCCCTGCCAACCACCATTCTACTTTCTGTATCTATAAATTGGACCACTCTAAATAGCTCATGTAACTGGAATCAAACAGCTTTTGTCTTTTTGTGACTGGCTTACTTCATTTAGCACAATCCCCTCAAAGTTCATCCATGTTGTAGCAAGTTCCAAAATTTTCTTCATCTTTAAGACTGAATAATAGTCTAATGTCTGTATATACAATATTTTGCTTATCCATTTATCTGTTGGTGGACTATCTGCTGCTGCCACTTTTTGGCTATAGTGAATAATGCTGCTATGGACATGGGTGTGCAAATGTCTCTTCAAGACCCTGCTTTCAGTTCTTTGGGATATATATTCCCAAGTGGAATTGCTAGAGCAACTTACCCATTTTTTAAAAGTTCACACCTGGCCCTGGATGGTGTGGCTTGGTTGGTTGAGCATTGTCTCACGCACCCAAGGGTTTCTGGTTCCATTCTGGGTCAGGGCACATGCCCAGGTTTTGGGCTTGATCCCTTGTGGAAGGGCGGGGCATGTACGAGGCTGCCCATCTGGGTGTTTCTCACATTCTCTCTCCCCCCCCTCTTTCCTCTCTCTCTAAAATTAATAAAATGTATTTTAAAAATCAATCAATAAAAGTTGACATCTGACTTTACAGAGTGGGGACCCTAATCAATATTAAATAGTAAGTCAAAGTTATCCTCCCCAAAAGCATCAGGTGACCAACTGATGGGCTAGTGAGATAATATTCTAGTATTACTGTGAACAAACTTGCAGTAAATTTTTAGCCTTATTTCCAAATTCTGGATAATTTTTATTTGCAGTCTATCTCACCATGAGGGTAAGAGCTGTGTTTCTGGGTATTTTATTCTCAGTGGCTAGGCCCTTAAGTACTGTTGATTGAATAAAGTATCACTAAGGCCTACATCACCTGGCTGTTATGAGGACATTATGAGATGTTGCTTGCAAATTGCCTGTCAAAGGCTGGCACATAGTGGCTGCTTAAGACATAGAAGTACTTAATATTATTGTTATGCAACAACTGGGGGCTGGGGGCTGGTCATGACTCAGAGGGGGAGGGACAGCCATGACTCCTGGTATGGAGGCAACTGTCCTAGAGGGGGTACTGATGGTGGGTCTTGGGGCCTGGGTGCCACCAAAGCTAGAATGCTGGGAGATCTAATGTCTTTTTTTAGGACTCTCCACGAGATACTTGATTCCTCAGGCACCGTAGGAGCATTGGTGGCTTGGATGATCAGCTATAAGCCAGCCTTGTTTGGGTTCCTATTCCTTCTGCTATTGCTTAGCAACTGGCTGGTCAAGTATGAATTCAAGTTCACCCCCACAGAGCCCCAACAGGTGAGCAAGAGGAGCCTTACCTTCAGTTGAGGGTGATGGGATATTTACAGGTAGATTGGGGTTTGGGGGACAGGGAAGATGTCGGGATAATGGGGCAAGACTGAGGCACCCAAACCTCTAAGTCTCTGCTCTGCAGCACATCCTTCACAAATCTTCAGGTGCCTCAGCTATGAATTGGGACCACACTAGACTGCCACTTCCTGTTTGACATCAATATGCTTTGGTAACAGCAACACTCGCTTTATTTCTTTATTTTTTTTTCTTTAAAAATATATTTTATTGATTTTTTTACAGAGAAGAAGAGAGAGGGATAGAGAGTTAGAAACATCGATGAGAGAGAAACATCGATCAGCAGCCTACTGCATACCCGCAACCAAGGTACATGCCCTTGACTGGAATCGAACCTGGCGACACTCTATCCACTGAGCCAAACCGGTTTTGGCAACACTTGCTTTAAAGGAAAACATGAAAATGGGTGAACTAGAGACACATGTATAACATAGATACATCTCTAAAATATAATAATGAAGATAGGAGAGATATACATGAGTTATGACATATCTTATATAAAGTTTAAAAACATGCCAAACAATAACCAATCTTGTTTATGAATGCACTTTTTAAAAATGTAATTCTTTATTGTTCAAAGTATTACATAAGTCTCCCTTTCCCCCCACTGACCTCTCCCCAGCTGCTCCCACCCCCCAGCACATGCCCTCACCCCCCCCTACTGTCTGTGTCGATTCATTATGCTTATATGCATGCATACAAGTCTCTTAGTTGATCTCTTATCCCTCCCCCCAAAAGCACATGTTTAGTGAAAGTACATTAAGGCAGGATTCTTCAACTTTCACATGATTGACATTTAGGGCGGGACAATTCTTCATTGTGAGGGACTGCTCTGTGCATTAGATGTTTAGCAGCATCCCCGGCCTCTACCCATAAGATGCCAATAGCGCCTATCACCCCTTTTGTGACAACCAAAAAATGTCTCCAGACATTGCCCATGGTCCCTTGGGAGGACACAGTAGCCTCTGGCTGAGAGCCACCGGAATGAAGAAATGCATGGAAAAAGTAAAGGCCGGATTCAGGATTGCAGTTGAGATGAGGTTCAGGGACGGAGGGAGACACTCTAGGAGAGGGAGCCACAATGGCATCTGTGATGTTTTATTTCTCCCGCTAGTATGGAGACATCGGTATGGGTTGTAATATTTATTTTTTCGTGTGTCTTTAATTTTTAAAGGGGTGGAAAGACCAGGAGTTTGTAGTTGAATCCAAAAAGAAAAGCTAAAGCATTATTACTCTGGGTGAGGGGCAGGTGAGGACGATAGAGAGAAGAGCATGTCTCGAGACACAGAGACTGGGCAGCAGGGCTGGGGAACGCACAGCCCTGGAGACAGACAGATACATTTGGGTTAAGCTTTTATGTTCTTCTATGAACCAAAGGAAACTGTGGGTCCTAGGAGTGTGGGGTCTCTCCCACAAGCTGGATGATGCTGAGCCCCGATAGGCGGGCTGTGAGAATCCATTCAGGTGACAGTTGTAAGTCACCCGGCACAGCAAGGGGGACTATTTTTATTAACCAATCTCTCCTCTTTTCCTGCTGGTGGGAGCTTAGGAAAACACAGAGAAACGAAAGACCCCTGAAGCCGAATTTAATGGCAACTGCAACGGCAACGGCAACGCCATGAATACGAGAGAAGTCGAGAGACTGCACGCCTGCTTTGCCCTCCAGGACAAGATCCTTGAACGGCTTATGTTCAGTGAAATGAAGCTGAAGGTCTTAGAAAATCAGATGTTCATCGTTTGGAATAAAATGAATCACCACAAGAGGTCGAGCCGTCAGCAGATGTTTGCCGCGAGGAAGCACAGATCGAGGAGACCGGACTCCGCCTTCTCTGGCTACTCGGAGTGCACGTCCAACTCCCCCTGAGGTCGGAGACTGGGGTGGGCTGGCTTCTTCTGATGTTACCTTTACTCAGTAAAACCCCATCGGAGACTATTGGATTTGCTCAGTGAATCACACGGGAGAGGATGGTTGGAGGCTGAAAGATCTCCTCTGGAAAAGACATCTACTTAGCAAGCCAGCCAAGTAGCATCCTATGACACAGCCTGACAGCTCTAGAGCCAGCCCTTCCTCCCCTTCAGTTGGACCACTGGGACCCTGGTTCAGGGCGCTATTTACCTGTTCACCTTGAGTCTCCCACGGCTCTCCCCAGTGCTGTTCCACCCTCCAATCTCCCTCTCACTCTGCACCCAGAGGCCAGAGCAAGCCCTGCCAGGCCAGGCTCTGAGTGTACCCATTGCCTATTCTCAAGCCAACGTCTCCCCGTAGTTGACAGAATAAAACCCACACTCCTTACTCGGTGTTCAGACGCTCCGTGATCTTATCCCCTTTCCAGGCTCTTCCCATTTCTCACCCCCACAAGCTTTATGATCTACCCCAGAGTAGGCATTAGGGTACCACCTCTGTGATTTTTGCCATAGTCATGAGACACCTGAATTGACATGAGACATGAGACAACTCAACATTGTCCCTTTCAATGGACTATTTTTCCTTAAATAAATGTATCTGTAAAGGAACATAATAATAAAGGTAAATAATTTATTTGTAAGTTAAAAACAGCATCATTTGCCCGAAATAGACCTTAACTGTCAAAATAAAGACCATGGAAACTAAATGATGTTATTAAGTTCTAATCAGAGCTGGGTTGCCTTCTGATGGATCTGAACCTGTGAATTTTGGGTTTAAAAAAAAAAAGGAGATTTAGCAAGGGTTAGTGCTTAAAAGGCATGCTAGCACCAAGCTGAGACTCTTCCCATAGGAGATTGGAAAGGGCAGCGCCACCTCACTGTGGCTTCGTGCCTCGTTGGTGTCCTACTTAAAATCATCTCTCCCACTATTTCGTAAACTCTAACCAAACCAAATGACTGGCAGTCCCCCAGCTGCATTTACCTCTGGACCTCAGGGCTCAGTCCTCGGATCCCTTCTTTACTCCATCTCACTCCTGTAGTGATGGCTCTCAATGTCATCTACTGTTAAGTGCCAGTGATTTATTTCTAAAGTGTATCTTTGATACAGGTCCTTAAGCTAGGCACAGACTCATCCTCTGGCCTCTGCATTGGACACTCCCCCACCATGGATGCTCTTCCTCAGTTGTCTGTATATCTGATTCCCTTTCTTCCTTTAGCTGATCTGTTAAATTCTTTCTCGATGAGGCCACCCTGACTGCCCAGTTTAATATTTATAACTTGTCCCTCTTACCTGGCTCTACCTATTTTCCATAGCAGGTGTCACTTTCTAACATACCACTTAGCTTATTTATTGTTAGGAATACAGAGACCCCCCGGTATCAGGGGTCCTGGTAGAACAACACAAAGCATGCTTGGGAGCCAGCCAGCAAGGCAAACATCTTTACTCCTGCAGGAGGGTGTGCAGGCACAGGGTCTGTGAGTATGATGCACACACTGAGTGGGTGGTCCACTCAGGCTTTTATGCCTGATGCACATGACCTGTCCCTCACTCTTGATTGGTCACAGAGCTTAAACTCATACTCTTGCGTGATTGGCTGATTTAAAAGGAGGGGTTGACCTTTGCCACTTCAAAATGGTGGCCTACAGGGGATTGAAAGTCACTTGACCCAAAATTATGGCTGCCTAAACTCCTTCTTTGACAGAAAAGATTACTTGTTTATTCTCACAATTCTTCCCATTTCTTATTTAACTCTTTTCTTCAAACTTGGCTAACATTCGTTGACTTTCCTGCTCTGCTGTGTCTAAGAGATTATTTTGCTGTTTGGTCAATGTGGTTTCAATTAACGTTTAGATAAGACCTCTCAAACATGGGATAATATAACATCCACTACTGTCATTCCCTTCCATTCTCCAAACCATTGCTAAATCGGAGAAAGGATCCTCAATCCCAGGATTCTCAGCTGACTCGTTAGCTAGAGTTGTTAATCCCTGTAGGGCCTTAGTGATCGTTCTGTCTGGAGCTGTTGTCAGAGATGAATGCACAACACTGCCCGCACCCCCTCCCCCTTCGCATTACATATACTCCTCCTTTTCTGCCAGAATCATATCCAAGGCCAATCTATTTTCCCACATCATCCTGCTGGTGGTATATAGTTGTTCAGCTATGTTTTTAACTGTGTCTTGAGTATAGTTAGCAATCCTTTGTTGGTTATAGTAACTAGTGGCCTGCTGCATGGATTTGTGCTCATTGAAAGGAAATTAATTGGAAAAAATAACAACATGATATAACAACAACAAACACAGGTCATAAAAACAACATTGATAAAAACAATGACTGATAAATTGATTAAACTTATTCTAATATCTCCCTATATACCACATTAAGAGTAAAAACACTTTCAGAGTGCGTGATTAATTTCCCACGTGATAAAGCATTTACAACTTTAACTTTAAGGTCACTTCCTCTTCGAACTCAAGAGAAAGCAACATATAACTGCCCATGTCCGAAAACGGGTTCAGGTAGGAATATTCCTACTTTGTCTAGATTGGCTCAGCGAGAGCTTTATATGTATAGTGGCTACTGTTTACGGAGCACTTGCTGTGAGCCAGCTGGGCACCGTGTGCTTTAGGTGTCTTAGCTCATGTAATCCTTGCTCCCACCCATGGGTGCAAGTTCTATTTCAATACCCTTGTTATAGATGAGCACGGCGAGATCTAAGTGCAGCCAAGAAATCTGACCCAAGTCACATCTATAAGCCTAAGTGACCAAACGACCAGTCACTATGACATGCACTGACCACCAGGGCGCAGATGCTCAACACAGGAACTACACCCTGGTGGTCAGTATGCTCCCACAATAGGAGCTCCGCTCAGCTGACCAACGGGCTCCAGATGCCTGGCTCATGGCTGGCAAGCGCAGCTTCAGTGGCGTGAGCCTCTCCGGCCTCTGTGGCATGCTACTGAATGGAGGCAGTGGCAGGCGCAGAGGGCCAGGATGAGTGGGAATGGTGTGGCGCCCACCCAGGCTCGGCTCCTCCCCCACTGCCTGCTACTTCGCACACTACTACATCCCTCAGGGATGTCAGACTGCATCAATGACCGGCGGTCTGACATCCAGCTAGGGGTCCCGGATTGCTAGAGGGCACAGGCCAGGCTGAGGGACCCCACCGGTGCAGGAATCTGTGCACAGGGCCTCTAGTAAGTAATAAGTGGTGGGGCTGGGATCTGAACTCTGGCAGTTTGACTCAAGGGTCCACCGGTTGAGGTTTAGTCTCTGAAGCCTAGTCCACTTGAACTTGGGAACCTTCTAATGGTCTGGGTAACAATCAGCGTAGCAGATAAAGATTATGATTTTTCCAAAGAGCAGCAGGTGCCCACTGAAGGTTCTTTAAGCAAAGGACTTCATCAAATTTTTCAGCTCTAGAGAAGATGATTAACTCCTTCCTCTCCTGAGGGGCAGTTGTGGAGATTATCTTGGTTCAGAGAGGAAAAAGTCCTTGGACAAACGCCTGCAGGGAGAGCACTTAAGGAACACATTCTTCAGAGGTGGTGGCTCCAGTAGCTACACATGGGTACCTACTGCCGCCGTGTGGCCACTTTTCTATATGACATGCTATGGATTTTAGCTAAAATCCGGAGGGGCAGGTTAGTCTGGGCAGTGAGAAATGGTTTCATTGGGACTGGGGCCTAGGGCAATGGACAAGCTCCCACAGAGGAGCTGGTGTCCTGGGGTGAAGTCTTGATCCAAAGAGGTGCAGAACCTTGAAGGGGATTGACTGATCCTCTGGACATTCAGTCCTTGTTTGGTGACACAAACCAAAATGAGAAGCAGTCCTTGCTCTAGAGCAGCGGTCACCAACCTTTTGGACCTCATGGACCACCAGACTGCTGCCTTAGAGGACCTCCTCATCCAGTGGGGAGACAACATGGAGATGCATTTGTGTCCCGGAATCAGTGAGGACTCCTGGGTCCAAATCCCATTCCTGCCACTTCCTGGAACCTCACTTCTTAGAGCATCAGTTTCCTCAGGTGTGAAATGGGCACAGAACAGACCTGCCCCTGGGGATTGTGGGACATTGTCACCACTCAGTCGGTGACCCTGAGGCAGGCTGCCCGGCCTGCTCTGAGCCTCAGGAAAGAGGAGCCACGCAGCCAGGTGCAATGGAAAAAACCTGGATCCCAGCTCCATCGCTGTCACCCCACTTGCTATATGACCTCCCCTCTCAGAGCCTGTTCCACCAGCCATACAATGTGGAGTTTGGATAAAACCACTCAGCTCTCTTCTCACTCTAATTGATCAATCCTCTTTGCAGGCCAATCACAGAGGGTTATAGAAGAAGATCCAGAAAGTTTGCCTCTACCCATTCACATACCCACGCTGAGCACCAGCAAAGAGAGATATTAAGTCAAGCCCCGCCCAACTGCAGGGTGGCTGGGAGGCAACGAAAATGATGGTGGAAGCTGGTGCAATTCACAAATAGCAGAGCCTTGCTCCTCACAGGGTGGTCCACGGACCAGTATCGACACCACTTGGGTTCTTGTGAGAAATGCAGACTTTCCTGTACCATCTGACCCACTGACTCAGAACCTGCAGTTTAGCTCAATCCCTAGACGATTCCTACACATATTTGAAATGAGCTGGACACACCCCGGCCCAAGGCCATGGCTCTCAACCTTGACCACACAGAATTACTAAGGAGTCTTCAAAAATTGTGATGCCCAGGTGGCACTCCAGGGGGCTTCTGGGGTTGGGACCCAGACAGCAGAGGTTTGTAAAAGCTCTCCAGTGTAAACAATATCATAAGTGGAGCCACTTTAAAATGTCAGAGCTGCCATCCAGAGGAACTGCCTTATACCTCAGACCCTGGAATGTTAAAAACAGGGCAAAATAACCTTGGGATGGGACCTAAGCAGCCTCATGCCTTGCAAAAGAACATTTGCAATGATAATAGGAAAGCA